GCGCGGTGGGGTCCGCGCGCGCGCGCGCGTGTGTGTGTGTGTGTGTGTGTGTGTGTGTGTGTGTGTGTGTGTGTCGGGGGGGTGCAGCACTGTACCTAGACTCCTGGCGGCCCCGGGGGAACTTTCAGTATCGGGGCCCCCTTCACTGATGATAATAATTTTTGCCATTTTCGGGCCCCCTTTCTGTCCCATCTCTGGGCAGCCACCCAGTTTGCCCATTTGTGTCTGGCCCTGTGTTGTGTGAGCGCGCGTGTTTCAGGTTGGCGGTTTCCTGGTGCCATGGATTTGGGAGTATCGGCCTCTTGTGCACTAATGTATGGTCACATGTATGGTCTATGCACTATGTAGGTATGGAATATACACTAAGGTATGGTCATGTGTAGTCACCGCACTGGTCTGTTGCCCAGACGGAGATGGATTTATATGGCATTGTATGGCAGACACTACACAAGGCCATTTAAATGGTGCATGGGATGTCCAATGCACTGTGGACAGGGCACCCTATGAGAGCCTTGTACAGGTTTTCCTCACTTCATGCTGTATATGCATGCCTGGACAATGGTGCATAACTCAAATTCACATAAAGGGAACCCACCTTACAATGTAACAAATAGGGATATGTTCTGAGACCTCAACTGTACTGACCCCCAGAGCCATTTCTACCACTTTTACAAAACAATTTTCATACTCACCAAGAGCAGACTGTACACACAAGCACAGGGCACTGTCATAATGGGGATGGCAACTACAGAAGCACGTCGCAGATGACAAGTGAGGAGCACGGATCCACAGAGGAGACTATATTTTGGTGTGTGTCACTCCCACAATGCTCAGCACAAAGCAGCTTACTGCATGCTTCCACCACACCAATTGCATAAGAGTGAATTTACCTTGCATATAACAAATTTTTGGTATGAAAAGGGTCATTGCATAAGAATGAATTTGCACATGCAGAACCTGCAAGGGAAACCTGCAATTAGCTTCCCACTGGCCAGCTTCCAGAGGGAGGGGTTGTTTCTTCCTGCCGCTGCATGTACCCCTGAGGGAGAAATGGGAAGCATGTGCCCCCCGCCCCTGGATTTGTGTGTATGGCAAGTGCAGGCTGCCCACTATGGGTTTGGGATCAGGGGCTGTGCTAGCACAGGTTAGGGTTAGGGTCCCCTTCTTGGCGGGGGAAATGGGTCGGGCTGGTCTGGGGGTGGGCAGGTGCTAGGTGGGCTCAACTACATAGGTCAGGTGGTGGCGGTGCTGGGAAGGGTGGATATGGGGAATTTTGGGGTGGCTATAGCCCTCCAAGTCCTCTCTTAGCACTGCCCCTGTTGAGGGCACTCCACTCTGCTGCCTTTCCCTCAGGAGCCCTACACTGAGGAACGGAGCCAGTGCAGGGCTCCCAAGGAAAGATAGCAGAGCAGAGTGCCCTGAGCAGGGGCAGCACTGGGGGGTTGGGGGGCTATAGCCACCCCAGAATTCCCCATAGCTACTCCTCCCAGCACTGCTACCTCCCACCATTGCCCTGTAAAAATTGGGGGGGCACATGCCCCCAATGCCTCCCTTGGGGGTGTCCACAGCAATGGGGAGCTGTGACCCCTCCCCACCCTGTTGTGCCCCCTTACTACCCCCCTGTGTCCCCTGGATGAGCCTCCCATGGTTCCATCCCACTCCCAGGCCCAAGGTCGCATTCACTGCCCTGGCTGGATAGTGCCTGCCCCTGCCCCTGCCCCACTTCTTTCCTCACTGTGGTGGCCTTAATCTGCCTCCCTCTACCTATTTCCTCCCACAGGCCACTTTCCCACCCCCAGACTTACTGGCAGGGCACTACTCTCCCAGCTGCATTCTTGTAAATCTGCTATTGGATCAGTATTGGCCGATATGGCTGGTTAATAATCGGCTATCGGTATTGGGCAAGCAAATCTTTATTGGTGCACCCCTAGTTTTTATTTTATCCTTTAGCAGCTTCAATTACTTCCTTCAGTGACTTCCTTCCTTCCATCAGTGACTTTAGCAGCAGACTTCCTTCATTTCACCACCTCGCTGCAACTCCCACTCATTGCCTCTCCACCTCCCATTTCACTACCCAGTCCCATCATTAAACTCTTCACCCTGCCAGCCTCATGCTCCCACCCCCCCACAGCCCATCTTTCCAAAACACCCCCCACCTAGAGCAGGGGTAGAAGCTAAGGGTGTGTGAAATGGGCCATATTCAATTCAGATTTGGCATGAATCAGGGACAGTGATTCAATTAGTTGATTCAGATCACTGTCCCTGTGGCTGAATCAGTATCTGAAGATTCGATGTTGATTTGGAGAATCAGGGACTTGGGCATAGACACAGCATTAAATATTTTTTCTACATAACTCGAGGTACCAGGTGCGGCTCATGAATGCTGAGATGGTGGGGCAGATGAAGCATCCCACAGGAGCACAGGGAGCCCCCCACCTGCTCGGTGGTGAACCTGGAAGTGGACTGGAACTACTTCTGGTCCACTTCCGGGTTCACCACTGAGTGCACCAGGGGCCCCCCCTGCACTTCCCCAGCAGACCTAGAAATGGACTGGAAGTGCTTCTGGTCCACTTCCGGGTCTACAGCTGAGTGAGCTGGGGACCGCCTCCACCCCCAAATGCTCCTGTGGGACGCTCTGTCCACTCCCACCATCTCAGCATTCACGAGCCACTTAGTACCTTGAGGTATATAGAAAAAACATTTAAAGCTGTGTCTATATCCGAATTGTCAAATCTTTCCAAAACTCTCCAAATCAATTTGGGGGGTTCTGATTTGATTCAGAGACATTAAAGGGTTTCCTGATTCGATTCAGAGATTCGGACACCAAAAGGGGCCAAATCTCTTCCAAATTGAATCAGCGACCGAAGCTTCGCATAGCCCCAGTAGAAGCCTGTCCTGGCTCATGAAGCCTGTAGCAGCAACTCACAGCTGTAGATCCTAGTCAGACCCCTCTGCTCACCAGCACTGTAGTGGCAAGGCAGGGTCAGGGACAGTCAGAAGGTTTTTAGCCTGAATGTGTGACTACTCTAAACTCAAACTAACTTTAATAGCAATCAGTATTTGAGAAGCTGAGTGTAATATGTAACAAAGCCCTTACTGATGCAGAGATGACTGCTTGTATTTGCAAAGCTTGAAACATTAGTTCTGAGAAATGAATCTTCACATTTATTTCAATAGATGATAACTCAGCTGTTAGTGAGGTACTTCACTTGTTAATATTACTAGTAATGTAATCATATGACATCTTATGATCTTTGTCATTGTTAAGGATGGATTTGAAAGCTATATTAACTTACATGCATAGGCTTTTAATAACACTGACACAGCTGCAGGTTGATTTAATGTTTCTGAAAAGTGGTTAACCTGTAAACATTTTGGTAAGCACTACACTAGACCAGTTTTACTTATCTGTCAGGTCTATCCTTAGTTGACTGGATTCATGTTTTTACTGTTTCAGAAGTTTTTTGGGAGGGAAATTAGTGTAGAACTTTAAGAGAGAGATCTTTACTTCTGAGCAAAAGTTATTTATTAAAATATTTCAGGATGAGCTACAAGAAGCAGTTTTTGCTCGTGCAGCAAGACAGCAAACAGCTGACTACTCAGATGACTTTGACACCGATGAAGATGGCATGTTAAGCAGTAAGGCAGATGACTTCAAATGTATTTTGTCTATGTTCTCCACCTCTCTCCTTTCACTAAGGGCACATGATTGAATGTCCAGAGATTCCACATTTTAATCACACTTTAAATTATGAACCTTAAAGAATCTCTGTGACATCAATCTGAACAAAATTGTTGTTCCCTCTCCATTAAAGTGTAGAAGGATATCTTAAAGAGATGTTTCCTTTTTTCCTAAGACAGCCTGAATAAAGATCAACTTACAACCAGTGTGGAGTTCTGTCTGCTTTCAGTAATATGAGAGAGGCAGCGATTTTTGTAAATGGCATCTCTTATTGAACCAACTGAGTGGTTGGGATAGACTTAAATGAGCTTTCTGGTATCACAGTACCCTTCCTCAGGAAGAGTATTCATGAGGAAGGGTCCTGGGATACCCAACATCTCATCTAAGTTGAATGGATCACACAAAAATCCTTGACTCTCACAATTCCCAGACCATCATGGCTACAACATTATTTGAACACTACCAAAACAAGGGCAATATGTGTGTTCTGTATGTCATAATATACTTTTAAAGATTTCATCTACATGAAGTCTGTTTCAGTTGTTATTTACCACAGTTATCCCTTAAAATTTTTTTGACCTGAATTGGCATCCCTTCATGCACGTATTGCACAGCACGACTCATCCTCTGTTCAACATGTTACTGTGTTCTTTAGGATTTGAACCCTGAAAAACCTCAGAGCTATTGTTAGTAACGGGGACAAGGTTGCATAACAAGTTTTAATGAAGAAAACTATGTTTTGGGGAACTGCAGAGATTGGGACAGGACCATGTCTTGTTTGAAGAGTGTACAATCTAATTTTAGATATGACACAACTAGTGTGTGTAATTGGAGAGGATGTGGAATCACTAGGATTCCAATAATAAGGTTCCATGGTTGCTCATTACTAGGAAGTGCACATCTTTGTTTATTTGTCACTTTTTTTCCTTGTAGTAGTGGATATGTGAGGTTTTGAGTAGTGTTTTGAATCTGGTGACAGGTGGAAATTAATTATTAAAGACTGCAAGAATTATTTTGCATAAGGTCCAGAATGAAAAAGGCAGGATAATGACCGAGAGAGAAAAAAAAGCAGAGTATAAAGCTTTACGTTGTTCACTGTTGGAGTGATGGGGAAGACAGTGATATAAGCTAAGATAAGGTTGTGTGAATAATATATTATTTTTAAAAATCCTATATTCCTATAAAATATAAATTCAGTACAGAAGTTGATACTATACCATTTTCAGGTACCATGGAAGAACTTCCTGAAAGTATATCAGCTATTGAAAATTCACTTAAGAAGTCAGTTGATTTTGAGGTTTCTTTCTCAGATGAGGAGACCCCACAGAAAGTGAACCCTTTGAAAAAGGAAACTGCTGATGACTTCTTTCCAACAACTGATGAAGAGAAACCTCAACAAGCGATTGTTGTGGAAAGTCAAAATTTAAGTGATTACAAAGAAGATGAAAATGTATATTTGCAAAGTCAGAAGGTGGGTGATGATGACAGAGAAGTTGATGATAAGTTTTCAGTCACTGAAGAAATTACTTATGATGGCAAAGAAGGTGACCATCAGAATGAGTTGCCTGTGGCTGAGCTGCAGACTAAAAGGGAATCAGTTATTGAAAAAGAAGACGAAAACAAACCAGTACCAAAACCAAGAGAGCACAGAATAAAAAATGCATCATTTTCAGGTAAAAATCAAGCATGTGAATACTATTGCTTCTATTTATAGATGCATATTGTCATATTTTAAAAGGAAAATAATGTTGAAGAAAGATCTCATTTTTTCCAATATTGGGTTTGATTTCAGCATCCCTAATATTAAAAAATAATTTAAATTCACCTTTTAAATATTATACAGCTGCATGAAACATGCAGGTAGGTATATTAACAATACTGGATAGCTTACAGCAGTGTAGAAATTGCACAGTACTCTGTCTGAATGAGAAAAAGTCATAGGACATTTGTGGCCCAGGCATCTTCCTGTATTCCCCAGTTTGCAGGTCAAAAGTGAACTTTTATTTTGAAAATATAGAGTTGGTTTTGTGATCTTTAGCTAAAGATACATGCACCCAGTTTCATCCTGGTTTTCTTTATATCAAACAGTCTTTTGTTTTCCATTGCAAAATCTTGAGGGCTTTTTTTTATTATGGAAGGCAAAATTAGAAATTTTGCAAATAAGCACCATTAAAAAAAATTAAAGATGTCATAAAGTATTTTAATATGATAAGAAATTGAGCTTTTATCCTACTATAGCTTTTTTTTAATAAGATTCCCAAGTTATTTTACTTTGAGATAAATCCTTGGTTTAGTCATGATTAATGACGAGAAAAGACAGACTCGAAATGAACAGGGCATGATAAACATTACCAAAGACTTCATAATTTTCCTCATCTCATGCTGTCAGCCAAGCTTCAGATATTTGAATCTGGAAATACAGGACTTTAGACCCTTTTGGCAGTGTGTAACATGACTGCGGGGTTGTAAACATACAGTTTTAGACATTTTTTTTGTTAATCTAAAAAGCAGGTACGCCACCATTAACACCTAACCTGTTTGTCTACTGAAGAATCAGCTCTGAAGAATCTTTAATCTTTAATGACTTATTGCTTAGAACAAACTCACTCATATCAAGGAAAACTTTGGAAAGCCTTTTTATTTGAATTAGGCTGCCACTAAGAGTCTCACTGAGATTTAAGTGGTGTGGATGGCCATGACCTGTTAATAAAATGTGATTTATAAAATGACATTGTATTTAGTGCTAATTTCTATTTTATATTGTTATGGCAACGTGCACATGCACCAGTAATTCCATGGCTATCTTTGGGTTTGGAGGTAAAATTTAGATGTGTCAGGATATGCAAGGTGAGTGCCCAGTATCATTGTTGTATCTTTTTCAAGGGAATCTGGTGCTTGTGACAGTTGCCAAAAAGAGCATCTGTCTTTCCACTGCTGATTGAATTATGCTTGAAAGGGGCACTAGCTCTGCACCACTTTTAAGTTATGTCTGTCAGGAAACATGCTGAATGTAATAGCTGTTCTGAGGCTCCTCCACTCCATTCCTTGGCAGTGCACCTTATTTCTTTGTGAACACATTTCTTTTTATATAAAAAGAACAGAGCTGCATACAAACATGAGAATGCACCAGGGAACCAACTTGCCCCTCTGTATTTCCAGTTTGGTCTGTTCTATCCTATGTAGAAGAATTAGCATAATTTTATAAAACGAATCCAGTAGAACCTATAAAAGAAATAGAGTAGAATGACAATGGAAAGTTTTCCCACAACATTGCAGTCTTAGACATTATCTAACACTGCATGTACACTCCAATGTTGTCATCATGCATATTTGACCTTTTGTTACTGCTGTTTGTTTACAGAAGATAGACATTTATCTGAAGAAAGTTTGTTGAATTTAAATGGACAAAATAGACCATATTAAATCAAATGTCTTATTAGTGGGTAGTATTAAAATAGCAATATTCATTTTTCAGCTGAGAATATCAGCATTCATCTACTGGAAGATCATTGTAAACCATTACCTCAACCAAGAAGTGTGTTAAGAAGGAGCAGCCCTGTGAAAGATAAAGATATTACAAGAGCGGAAGATAAGACAACTTCTACTGTTAGGTTATCTTCATTTTCTGCACCATCCTCCCTCACTAGGTTGAATGACCTAATAACATCTGAGAGAAGAGTACTTTCTGAATGTCCTAGTCCTGAGGTAAGAACATTATTGGAGTACCCCTTACATATGTGAAAATAGTTTGTCTATTCATCTATTCTGGACTGTAAAATAGCCCCCTTTTTATTTAGTTGTGATACAGCTTGCCATAACAAGAAAGAAAGGTGCAGGGGGAGTTGCAATCACATTTTGAAACATTGCCTCTTGAACTGGGAAAAAAAGCTGAATTTATGTGCACTACAGCCCTGTAATCTGTGATACTGAATGTTCAAATGTATTGCTGATCACTTTATCAACATACAAGGAAATAGTTTTCCTTTGAGTAATTGTCCACTTGCATATTCTCACTGGTGAGTTTGTCTGATTATGCTCAGTCTCTGGAGTTCAGACTATGTCTTTTCTACGATGGCTTTAATTCCAGGTTCAGACAGACAGTCAAATTGCCTGTTATGCCTGGGGAGAACCACATTCTTGACATTTTTTCAATCTGTCTGTCATTCAAGATAGGAACAAGTGTGGGCAAAGAATAAGCTTTGACTGTTTTTCTTGCATGATTCCCTTGTCCCCCTTTCTGACCACACATGCTGGGGTCAAGATCCTCAATGGTATTGTACACCCTCCAACACTGGAAATCAATGTGGAGTGACATCCCCAATGCTAGAGAAATTTGTGTCTTCTCAGTGTTCCTGATCCAGGAAGCAGATTGCTATTCAGAAACTGCTCTAGGAACCTTCCTCCTTGTTATAATGCCAGAAGCAGGGATCCTCTCAACCTAGGAAGGACTTACACGAAAGAGATAAGAATCCCTGAGACTCACTCAGCCCATGTGAACAACACATACCTTGTGAACCTAAAAAGCATAGGCTCCAACCCCATTATTGGGCCCTGAGACTTCTCTGTCTTGTAAGATTTCTACCAAAGTTCAGAGATGCCCAAAATGGGACATCCTGCCAGTTCCCAGCACTGAGATTTGCTGCTCAGAGCTTAAGAGGCTGAGGGAGCATGCTAGTGCTGAGCCACTCAAGGGATACAACTCTCTGACCTGTCTGACTTACTACAGTCTAAATCTTATCTCCAGCTGTACTTGATGAATAAGGAACCCTCGGGTACTTAGGAAACAAGATCCTCCTTGGGATAGAGCAGTACACTAGACAGTGCATCTAGCTTGTATGTCACCACTGCCAAAATTTCCACAAAAGACAGTGGTCTGTGTCTAGCCCTGAACTGGCTAGTGGACATACTGCTCATAAGCACCAAATTAAAACTCAAAAGAGCAGCAGCAAACTGAACTATTCTCTTTGGTGCTGTTTCTTACCACGAGGAAAATGTCTGTGGGTAAGTTGGATTTTTCTGGTAGGGGTTGAACAAGACATCATCACTGCTCTTCTTTGTTTCATTAGTGAAAGGCAGACTTTGATCCTAACAGTGAGTTTTGCACTGTTATTAAAATCAATTTGTTGACTTCGTTGAACATAAAACAGGCGTCGTATTTTCATTAAGGAGTTCTAAATAAGTACTGAATACCATTGTTTATTTTTACAGGTCAGTTAACTGACTTCAGTTTGTTGTGACTAGTTCTCATTACTTTAGGCTGTCCTTTTCTGTTTTTAAGGGTCCGTGGCTACCAAGCTCTTCACCATCATTACGTATTCATTTTCCTTCAACTGATGAGAGAACTGGAGATTCTGATTTCTTGATGTGTGGAGAAGGATCTCTCCCTAAAGGTAGAAATCAAAATACTGGTCATACAGGTGTTTATATATGTATGTGTATGTGTGTGTATGCACATGTGTGTATGTTATACATACAGATCACACACACATTTATTTATATAAAGCCAAGTGAAAAATTAACTTAGAAATAAGCGACTTCTATTATATATATTATATATTATTAGTGTCAGTTTGCAGAAGAGGTGGTTTCTGCAATGTATGCTAACACATTGAAATCATTTTGATGGTACCTGCTAATTCTGTGTCAGAAGGATTAACAGATTTGAGTAGTTTGGTAAACATGATATAAAAGAACCAGATAATATTTATCTTTAGCAAGACAGTTTGGTAAGTTTGTTTATATAACTAAACAAACTCTTGGCCACATTTTTGTACACAGTAGATGGCTTGTTTTATGGAAGATTGATCCCCATATTTAACCTAGGTTTTGTTAACTCGATCAAGTTCTTAACCCTTCTATTTTCGTCATTACTGAAAGGGGATACTAAATAATGTTTTGGGTCTGCCTTGTACATGACACAAACATGGAAGTAGTTCATGCCCAAGGAAATTAGGCTTTAAATCTGACACAGGCAAACCCAATGTAAGAGACTGTTGTTAGCAGCATTTGAATAATGTCTTCAGGCCCAACCAGATTGGGGCCCTGCCATATTACATACTGTATGAACTCAGTAAAAGACATTCTGTAGCATAAAGTGTTTACAACATAGATGTGATGGTCAAAGGGTGAAAAATAAGATGTAACATACAGAATGGTGATTGTCGTGTCATGTCATGGTGTGGACAGATAAAAGTTACACCGGTTTTAAATTTATATTAGTTTACCATGGATCACACTGAGCCAGGATAACTGTTTTTGTCAGGCTGCCCTTTCCCTGACATGTGTGGAGGTATACTGTTGTACAGCTAAACCTGTTTCATTCAGGTTAGTGCTTATGTGCATTGCAAATAAGGAAAAAATTAAGGAGAAATTAGAATGTGGAGAACATGTTAGCTCTGGAATGTCATAGTTAGAGACGGACAAAATAATGATAACTTCACTAGTGGAGCAGAGAGAAGATAACATAATAAACAGAATTGAGCTAGTCAGGCAAACTTGTAAAGCGATTTGAAAGACAAGCTGAGAAATTCGATCTTGATGCTGTGATCTTCAGTAAAGGAGTAAGTGGAATGCTTTCAAGGAAAAGTGATGGTCTGAACTGCCAGAGAAAATATAATACCCAGTGCCTATGTAGCACTTTTCTCAGGTAGCTATTAGAAAACACCAAATGATTAGTAATTTGATATCCATGTTACAAACTGAGGCACAAAAATAAAAGTGAGTCACCCAAAGCCATTCAGTTAATCAGTGGCAGATCAAAGAACAGTTCAGTGCCATATCCAGTGATTCAATAAAATGTGTGGATGCAGCTTAGCTAAAACTTGTAAAGGCTTCTGATAACTTCACTTGGAAGGTGATACATGAATATGCAAACTTTATCTTGATATCACAGATGGGAAATTCAGAAGTTGCCCACACTTAAAATTCTCTTTAAAGCCTTGGGTTTTCTGCCAGCTTTCACACCTTAGAATTTCTCCATATTTTGTACTCCCAGTCTCTGAAGACTCTGCTCCAAATTGGGGCAGCAACTTACCTTGTTGTACTGAACTCTTAATTAAATCTCTTATTCTTTGTTCAGGAATTTAACAAAAACAGGTTGAAGCAGTGTAATTTGAAAGTGAGGAGAGCTTTTTTTTACTTTTATCACTAAACTGTTTTAGAGGTACAAAAATCCCGTTTAGCTATTCAAAGCTTAGTAGTTCATAATTGGCGATTAGTCCATTTCTGCATTATTGTAGTATGTGTTTTATCTTAATCCCTTCCACATGCACATAGATACCAGTAGCTCTTTAGCCAGAGCTTCCTATTTCAAAAAGGAAATCATATCTGTGAACCAAATCATGGAATGACAGAGAAGTAGGGCTGGAAGGGAATTCCAGAGGTCAACTAGTCCAACCGCCTGGTTGAGGCAGGATCATTCCAATCCAAACCATCCTATACAGTCCATAATCTAAACTCTATGTGAGACTATCGTCAACCCTGATACAACACAGACCTAATGCCCTAAGCAGCCTCAGGTAAAGCAGGAGAAGCATGGCAACCAATGTCCTGCTTCTATGAAATGTTGTCATCATATGCTCAAGTGATTCCAGGTATAGGGCCATGCCCCCTGCTACAGAAGGCAAAAACGCTACAGTCCATGCCAACCTGACCATAGGGTAAAATTCCTTCCTGACCCCAAATATGGTAATTGGTCTGACCCTGAACAGAGGGACAAGATCCTCTAGCCAGGAACCTCCAGCTTTGATCCCAGCAGGAGCATTAGCAGACCCCAGTCAAAGTCCCCAGCCTTGGCTTTAGCCAACACCCAATGCCTCTGAGGGAGGCTTAAAAACCCCCTGAAACATGTAGCAGGAAATGGGGGTGGGGATAACCAAAGCCCAGAAATGTGGGAAATACTCATAGTTAGAACATAAGCATAGCTACGCCTATATCATCCCCAACCAGTGGCTGTCCAACCTCTTCTTGAACATCTCCAATGATGGGAAGTCCACAACTTCCCTAGGTAGACTATTTCACTGCCTCACTGTTGTAACATTGAAGAACTTTTTCCTTATATCCAATCTGAACTTACTTTCCTACTTCAAGCCATTCATCCTCATCCTCCTCTCTGTATCAAGAGAGAAAAGGTGTTTTTCCTGTCTTTTATGAAAGCCCTTTAAGAATTTGAGGACTGCTATCATGTCTCCTCTTAAGCACCTTTTCTGCAAGTTGAACATGTCTAGCTCCTTCAGCCTCTCCTCATATGACCGGCTTTCCAAGCCCTTGGTGATCTTGATTTTCCGCCTCTGGACCATCCCTAACTTTTTAAAATGTGGAGCCCGGTACTGCACTCAGTACTCTAGATGAGGCCTAATCAGTGCTGAGTAGAGAGACACTATCACCTCCTATGTCTTGCACCTAATGCTCTTTTGATGCTCACAAAACCACATTTTACTTTTGTGTGACTGCATCACACTGTAGACTCATATTGAGTCTGATCTACCAAGACTCAGAGATCCTTCTCCATAGTGCTGCCATCCAGTTAGGTGTCACCCATTTAATATTTGGGTTTTTGATTATTTCTCCAGAGATATAGCACCTTGCATTTGTCCACATGGAACTTCATCCTGTTGGCTCTGTCATTCAAAGTGTTAATGTCTCAGCAGATACTGGCACAGTTTTTCATATGATCTGTATATTTCTTGCTCTTAGTTTCTACATTAAACTGTTTCTGGATTTGATCAGATGACTTTGAACAGCCCTGCAAAATTCTCTCTCTAACATGCTACTGGTTGTCATAAAATAAAGAATACAGTTGTTACAAAGTTATTATTTGTAATCTGATTTTTGCATATGGTAAAAATTGTTTTAAAATCTGCATGTCAGCATCATCCAACCTTATTTTGGTTTCCTTTCATACACTCTTTTAGACCATGTTGAGGCAGAAGACAAGTGCAGTGATTTGATATTAGAAGATAATGGTAGAAAATCCCCCTCTGTGATCGAACTAATGATGACTACAGTGTATGAGAAAACTAAAAAATTACACAAATCAACTGATGACTCTCCTGAAGAAAATTTGCAAACCTTGGAAGAGCAAATTATTATCGATGGCGTAAAGGAGGTATCACTGAATGATAAACCTGAATGCATGGTTGCAGCGAGTACTTCAAAGGACTCTATCATGGTATCTTTACATGTATTTTTTTTTTCATAATACCAAATAAAATCCTAGAAGTGTGTATGAAAAGTTTCTCTATGAAACTTACTGCTTCCATCTTGCATGTGCACAGCTTTTTTACTGTTTGATAGACCAGTAATCTCTTCCACAGTTTCATCAAATCAGTTCTTTATTAGTAATTATTAGGAAGAGGAAGGAGGGAACTCTCACTGTATAAATATTAAAAGTAGGTAAAGATAACAAAGTTTGGCTGTGCCAACATCAGTTCTGCTTCTTCGATATAGAATTTACTGGGTCAGATCCCTAGAGTATGAATTAATTTAGCTTGAACAGTTTATACTAGCAGAAGTTAGAACCCAGTTTGTTTGAAGTGCTCTTTCCTACAATGATTTGAATAATATATGGTATGTAATAGGTTTTTTATGCCATAGTACAGGCTAAAAGAAAATATGTAGTTGTACATAATCATTAAGGCCAAACAGAAATGTGAAGACATCTATCGATGGGAACAGTGGAACTTGTAGGCTCTCTGATGTCTTTACCATTCTAGAATGTACTTATAACAGAAGTTCTAAAAACAGAGATTTTGATGATTTGAGGCTGTGGATCCAATGCCCTCTTTTACTTTAGACCTTTTTTTTAAACTGTTACACTAACGAGTGTTTAAGAGTACAGTAACAGATATACCTTCTTCTCATTCTTATTTATGAGAATTTGCTCAACATGTACACCTTGGCTTAATTTGGCTGATTACAAAAATCTCCAACAATAAAAGAAAATGTTTTGTTCACTTTTTTGCATTTATATTTTTGCATCCTGTTGCTTTCTGAAGTCTGTATTACAGAACTCTCATGCTACATGCTGTAGAGCTAGTTTTGTTGTTTGACAGGCCAGACCATATTTTTTTTTCTTTTGGATTTGTTAGAAAGATGGTGAAGAAAAGCAAGCAGTTCCACAAAAAGTGAAGCCTTCTTCATCAGGCAGGTAAGAGAAAGATGCTTCGATGTCAGTTTACGGTCTTACCCTACAGGATACCATTTCAGAACTTTAAGGTAACCACACAACAAGCTGGTTACTTGCATCTTTCTCACCCCAGGCCACTGGGGTTTTTGCAGGAATTTGCTTTCAATGGAAAGATCTTGGCTGTTGGAGACAGATGCACCTTTCCAAGCAGATCAGATATCACAGGGGCTTTTATTGGAGTCCACCATTGGAGTGACAAGTGAATCTAGCCCACAGATTTCTTGTGGTTGCTAGATTAAAGGATATAAAGCTTGCTTCACTTCTTTGATTAAAATGATTATGCTTCTGGAGTTCACATTCTGTACTGGCTTGCTTCAGCTATGACAAATTCCACATAAAAGAACAAATGTGGAATGGATTCTCCCTCACCCTCTGAAAATTTAAAAGTGTTTGAAAACAAGATTGTAATCAATGTTGTGATATTACCTTACTGAGAAGGGATGGAACTTTGCATATGGTGGAACTACCGGAAAGCTTATTTTAATATATTTGTGAAATGCTGGTTTTATAGGTCCCTGACATCTACCTATTTGAAAAAAGCCGGGAAAGCCGTTCCTCCATCTACAACGACATCATCTCAATATTTGGGTACATTAAAGGTCTTGGACAATAAACATTTACAGAAATATAGTGCTGAGCTTGACAAAGCAGATCACTTACGGGCAGCTGTTTATCAGGTAAACTTTAGTAAATCCCCTGCAAAAAGGGGACTTCACTAGAAAGTCTGAACCAATAAGGTTTGATATGGACTAGAAATAAACACACTAATGCATAATTTAATGTTTGAAAATGTTTTGTCACAACACAATAACCAGTTTACTTTATTGCATTTGGTACTTTAAAAAATAATTACTACATATCTACAATTCCTTTTGCTTATATATTCTCAATGGCACATGAGAAAAGTAAAAAAAAAAAAAAGAAAGTTTGATATCAGAACTAAATATTATTATATCCGTAGCAGCATAATCCTTGTGGATTTTATCATCCTGTGTAGCTAATACTAGCATAAATTTCAATTTTGGTCCCAAATATTGATCAGAAGGTGTTTCCACATGACAACAATCATATCTGCTTAACAAAATAGATATACATACCTGTACCATTTGTGGTGTTTGTATTTGTTCTAAATACTCTGTAATCTCAAATACTTTGTACATTGCCACTCATAGCCATTTTCTGAAGCTCAGTAAATGGTCTCAGTTTAAGATGTTTTAGCTTTTCAGTGGAACACAAGTGCAACATGATTAAGTCTACAAATTTGGCTGATCTTGCAAGCACTTGCCTACTTGTATAAATGTATTAATGTCTATAATTCTACTGATGTCAATGGGCTTATTCAATGAGCTTAATTGCAGATATTTTTTAATTACGTCTAGATTTTTCCCTAAATCCCACATGACTAGAATAATTTGTTCAAGCCTTTAAAAACATCATGCCGTGATACACTTACAATACTATTCTTTTAAAAATATTTTTATAGAAGGGCTTAGGAGCTGATAAATTAGTTTTGCATATATGATATTCTTTCCTCTTTTTTTACTCCCAGTTACCATTCTCCTGAAGACTTACTGAAAATTTCTTGGATGGTAGAACTGTGGAATTTTGTTTCACTTGTATTACTGCTACTACTTCTCCCTTCTTCTCCTTTTCTTTAACTTTTTTTGCAATATTGCATTCATCTTCATTAAAATAACGTAGTTCTTTTTTCCCCTCTCTCTTTAAACATCTACGCAATTGATAAGGATGTTTCATGTGCTGCTTATTTTTCACAGTAATGCGACTTAAGTAATTGTATCTTCCAAATACAATTATTACTTACAGCATAAAACAAAACTGATGATTCTTGCATATAAAAACAGAAATACTGACAGCATTGTCTGTAGTCAGAGCCGGATTCAGAGGAGATGCCGTGGTGCAGTTGCATCCCCCTTTTGATTCTTCGTCCACCCAAAGTTTAAGACCAATTGCCTGACAGTGGCAGCAGCATTTCTATTCAGGCAATAATAAGGGAGTCAAATGACTTCATGGCTCATTATAATCTACCTGATCCCTTCTAAACACTTTGTTCCACAGGTGTTAACAACCCTCTCTCCTTTTTAATGGACTTGATGTTCCACTAACAAAGCAACATTTTCTTCTGCAATTCTGCTGTTTGTTACCTGTTCCTGATAATCTAGTTCCTATTTCACAGCTCTGCTGACTGTTTTTAACTTTGCCTAAAAACATTAACTGAAGTTTGGAAATCTTGACTCAGGTGAATGTCAACTAAGGTCTGGAAATAACTTTTAGTGAAGAATAGGATGCAGTGTCAAGAGGCTCAAGAGGGTTAGATTTTTGTTGTGACTCTGAAAAAGAGATATACATTTTAATCTAATAACTACAGGACTAATGGAACAACATCTTTTGATTATTCTTGCCTAATTTGTTTTTTTCCTACACAATACATGATAAAGCAAATTAATGAACATTCCAAAAAAGTTGCATTTGTTTTCGCTTTGACCTTAAACTGAATAATATAGTCCTCAGCATATTAGTAAAGATTCTAGTTTCTTTTAACTGGAAAAAAATGTCTGATGTTTGTGGTGATATATCACAGCATCTGCACTCCCTTTTCAAAATCCTAGATCCACCCATGTCTATAGGTTTTGGTTTTTTTAACGTCAAATGTAACATTATATTTAATTATTATGTTTAGTTATATATAGTTTGTTTGTTATTATATTTTGTTTATATTTAGTTAATATAGTACAAAATCTCTAGTTACAGTTTAAAACTCTTCATCTCCCAGTTTCTTCCTTTCCTTTATAGGATTGGTTGGAGAAGAAAAGAGTCTTTCTACTGGAACTACAGAGAATTAAAAGGAACAAAACCAAAGACTTAAAGAGCAAAATCGAAAAGGTTTGTTTAAATATATGACTTAAAGGGAACCTTAGCATGCTGCCACTGAAGCAGTCATCTAGATCTGCATTTCTGTATTAGGAAAGGAAACCCAGAAACAAAACCCAACTGTTCTTGACTTGAAGTAAGATTGTTCTTTAAGCTCTTGCCTTCTTATACCACTTTGCCAGCAGAAGGCAGATGTAGTAGTTTCTACAGTTGCGTAAGGGGCATAGCTGGGAAGAGGAGAGTGACTAGTGCTTCCCTGCACATTTATGTCTTCCACGTGCCAGGTAAATTGAGCCACTCTAGCACCCCTCTTTTATTTTTGACTATGTGCTTCTTACCTGCTACTGGCAATCTAGGTCAGTCATCTTAGTTTTATTTTGATGGTTATCAGATATTTTCTATTCCACATATAAAATGTAATACTGTCACAGTTCTGAAGAGTTATTTGCCCTTCTTGGTGGCTTTGTAGGTACATGTATACAGCAACATTTACACCATTAATAGATTTATTTTCTTTAATTATCTACTCTCTCTCCCTAATTGTCTTTCTTACATGGATTTCATAGGTAAAGCAAAGTAAATTTTAAAGCAGCAAGTCCTGTAAAATGCAGTCAGCTTCATGGTTTTAGGTCATACAAATTGGTCATGGTTGAACAGTAGTTCAAATCACAGTTGAACCATATATTTTAAAATGTTCTTTGCTTATCATTTTGCTTTCCATTATATTTTTGTCTAATGCTAACTTTTGAGAATGAGTTTACATAATGCAAAGTTTTTAATATATAAACTTGCATTTCCTATCTAGGAAGAAGCTGCTAAGAAAGAGGAAGCAATTGCATCATTTGAAGCCTGGAAGGCAATGAAAAAAAGAGAAGCAAAGAAAGTAGCTGAAAAAAAGAAGCTTGAGGAGCTGAAGAAAAGAAGAGCAACAGAACAGAATGAGGAGAAAAAAGAAGAAGCCCAAAAGGTAAGGAGAAACGTATCTTTCAGATACTGTCTAGCATATCTTAGTAATTGTTTCGTTAATCACAACAGGAGACGAGCCTGAACTAGACTGATAAATCTGGACAATAAATCTCCCTATTCCTAGAATATGTTCATATCTGGTTGTTTATTGAGATTTCGATTTTGAACATAAAATTCTTTATGTTCTATGTTGAAAAAGTAATTATCAGGCTAGTAACATTGACATCAGAGAGACGTGGTCTGGGAGTAGTAAATTCTTTCTTCTCCATAAAAGCAGTTTCATCTCCTGAGCTACCAATAGGCAACATTACAAGCAAACGATTTAAAAAGGGATGTGTAGGACTATAAAAACATCTAGAATTATCGAAGGGGTGACACAAAGATGCCATACAACTTTACTAATGGATATGGACTTTGTTTCAGGCATTTGAAAAATGGAAAGAAAAGAAAACAGAATATCTGAGAGAACAAAGTAGAAAAGAAAAACAAGCTGAACAAATCAGGAAGAAGAAAGAAGAAGAAGTTATTGCAGAAAAGAAGAGAGAGAGCATGTCTGCAGTTGAAAAATGGTATCACCACATAGAGTTTAGTTACATTTAACTCTACCATTTTTCAGGAAGTAGTTGACAATACTGGATTAAATCTTCTCTGAAGGCCTGAGAAGGCTCTTCTATTTTCATTGTGATGAATAAGAAGGAATAGTGTTCAGGGCATCACAGGATCAGGCTTTTTGTGCATTGCCTCATCAGGTAGCCCTACTTTTGTCTCATTTGTTCACATCCAAAAAAATACCACACGGCTGCTTTCAGTTTAGTAGCTTGAACGGTCTCTTTGCGAGAGGGTAATGACTTGGAAGGAACAAACACTGCAGCTCAGAAGTGAGACTGTACCATAGTATCTTGTCCTACTAATCCCACACTTTGTTAGCAAACTAGGGGGAAATATGGAAACATTTCACACTTTAGGTTTTAACGTAGGCAAACAAGGCATATACAGCAGTATATGAAATGTAGCTGCTTAATAAATCCATTGTTATTTTTATAAGAACAGGTAGTGTACTGAGTACTTTACATAAGCATCAAGGTTGATCCCCTGCAGAGCATTCACATATAAATATTTCACTTTGTGCAAAGGGTGGCAGGAATAAGAAGGAAAGATCAAGCCACAGTAATATAAAAGGCAATGCAGTTACGGAGGTGCATATCTTGATGGTGCAGGGTCTATGTGGGCGCATCTACACATGATATTAATGTGACACAATAAATTCTGGCACGGTTCATGCTGGAGTGTATTGCTTCTGGGCACAATGTTTACATGTGCACCCAGGACCACAGTATGTTGAGCTGGGGCAGCCGCGGGGGTCATCCTACCAGCTCAGAGCTCCTCTACTTTGGTTCAGTGTGCTGTGGAGGGGCTGGCTGGGGCACAAGGGTGTGACAGTGTGGGTCTAGGCAACAGGCAGCCCTGTACTGTATCATCCTCATGCCCCAGTCACTTTCTACACGTGCATTGTGGTGGAATAAATAACTCCAATGCAGAATAGTACTTGTGTTGGGCAGTACTATCCTGTGGCAGAGTTAATTTGTTTACTCCAGCCTAATAGCACCACTCGTGTAGATGGTGATGCCTTACTGCAGAGATAATTAGGCAATTCTGCCATAAGCATATCGTGTAGATGCACCTTGTATGTCTCTAAAGATTTTAGAAACTTTATTTGCTTGTAACTTATCCATGTATTATGTTATCAGTAAGTATAAAAATATCCATACTGACATTGCTAATGATGTCTGACTAATCAGCTTTTCATCTATTCAGGAATATCTTTTATTCTTCTCCCTTAATGTTTAGGAAGGAGAAAAAGGAAGAATTTATTAAACAAAAGAACGTAGAAAAAATCCATGAGAAGAAAAACGAAGAAATTCAGCAGGCTGAGAGGGAAGAAAAGGATAAAAGGGCTATTGAGGAATATGAAAGATGGCTGGTAAATACTTTTTATGCTTTATCAAGAACCACAACAAGAAATATAGTAGGTTGTGAGATTATTTTGAATTATCTTCAGTTCTCTTCCTGATTTTATAAAAGTGACCAGATGATGGCAATATTATACCTGATTATACCATTCTTGTGAGGGTTCTTTTGCAAAATGATTATGCAGTACAATATGCGCATGGTATCTGACATACATGGAAAATAGATTCTCCCTACCTGTGTGTGGTAGAGTTCTTTCAATTTTATAGTCAGTCTTCTCTTCTCCCATTCAATGTCAGGAACAGCCACTTCTGAAGGGCCAACTCAGCACAGCACAGATCCAGGAAAGGCTAGCAGCAGCACCAGCTGCAAAAGTGAGTGCATTTATATTCAAGGAAATCTTCAGGAGGGGGGTTGTATAAATCAAAATATAGAAGAATAGTTGCATTGAAGTTTGCAATTATATCCATTTGCAGAAAGGGTTGACTTCTGTGCTATTGCATAAAGAAGTCATAGGAGCCCGTCCTACAAACAGTAATAGGACAAGATTTCACTAACCACTTAAGGGAGTACTGTTGTTCTCTCCAAGGGGTATCATTTTCTGGTAAGGAGGATGTTGAGCTTACTATCCTCTCCCCAGTGTCTGTGCTGTTGCTCTGTGACACACCAAGGCTGCAGTACTGCAAATGTTTATGCACCCTTGTTGCATAAAACTGGTTGAGCTCTCCCATGCTACTGTAATTGGATCTTGCCACACTGGACTTGGGTGCCTTTAAGTTTCCCCCACTCTGAGTGAGGCACAACACTGTTTCTTTCCTATGGCATGCTTCCTAGGCATAGAGCCTTCCAGAGGTTTACTCTGTCATGGAAACAGGAGCTGGTAGCCCAGTTAACTTAGGTACCCAGAGCAAGTGCTGGCTTTGCCCCATGCTGTTATCATCTTGAGAACACCCTTTCCCAAAGATCTGACTTTTGGGGTATGTTCGGTGCCCACTCTTCAGAATGGGAACTGTAACAGATGCACAGACTTGATAAGAGCTCCAAGAACCAATTCCCCCCTTTTAGGTTACATCAGAGTCTTCTAAGAAGATCAGGATCCCCTCTCCTGCACATGGTTTTTCCTCTGAATTAAGTAGTGTTTCTGACTCCTATAGTCATGATTTTCCACTCCCTAAATTGACAATTGAGAAACCCTTTAAGTTATTCAGTTCTCCTTGTCCAGAGACTCTTGGATCTGTGTTGTCATATGATTAAAGTCCTCCACCAAGTTATTTGTTCCTTAGTTACCACCCTTCTGCAAATCTGACATGTCTGGGACAGTAACCATCAATTTGACCAGCGTGCTTAATTTAATAAGCAGTCTTCAAGGATTAAAGACCTGTTTTACACTCATTCTGGATGCCAAAGTTTCTGTTTCACCTTTTGTGGCTTGTCTCTTAATGTGAGAATAAAAGAAAAGAGAGAAAGTAACCGTGTCCTACGTTCAAAATGAAGTTTGCAGTTTGACATACAACTGAGAAAGACCTAATTTGTTTCTAAGCTTACACCTACAGATTTCCATAATGTTTGCAGCACTAGGGTCTAACTGGGCATGGTTGTTGCTGCTTATATATATAGGAACAGAGTTTATCAGGTCTATCTCCACAGTCCTTTCCTTTGTCATGGCTGAAGAGTCATATTTTAGGTATCACATCAACCAGGGTCTCCACTCATCCATGTTCTGCTGCCAGAGTACTGTTTAGCTTTGCATGACAATAGTTAGAAACAAAATTTGCATTTTCCATAAATTTAGGGAACAAACATTTATTTAACTAAAACTGTCAAATTATTGTCTAGATAATCAAAATGATTTTTGTATCAATTAAATAATATCAGTTTTAAGATAAATAAGTAAAATCAATTTTTATGTCAAGGATAAATGAATAATAATTTAAATCTAATAGTAACAATGATAGTCTAAAAATTTCACTAACAGTCAATAGGAAAAATTGATTTTGAGACTTAATTTTCACATAGTGTTCTTGGTACAAATAATGCAAAACAGGAGTTAAAAACTCCTCCTTGAATGCATCTAAAATATAAATGAACAACAGAATGAAGAATATTGTTGTTACTGTAGTGTTGTATACTTTGTATATACCTTTAGAGACCCTTCTGGATGCTTATCTCAACTTAGTCCATCGGAAAGTTTTGATATCGTGGAAATAAATGCCCTAAAAAGGAAGATACTGAGAACTTTTCATTAATACTTCTAAAAATCTAACATAAAATAAGATAACCCTGAGTTGAGATTTTCCATGCTGTTAGTTGAACACGTGGAGTTTTTTTTCTACAGCGTTTGCCTCTTGATTAGTCATCAAACACTACTGGAGCCAGTCTAGACCATTACGGAGAGACAGTGTTGGGGAATAATTACTTTTAACCAGTTTATTCATCACTTTCTGATAAGTATCACTGACCTACATTTATTCTGTGGGGTGAAGTAGCAAAGCTGTGTTTTGAGTGAGCTTACAGACGTGCCTTTGCATTTTCTTAATGCTTTGAGATTTTCCAAAGATACTTTATAAATTATTTATTTGTTAACAGCAATATTGGTGGAGTTTCTATTAATTTTGTGATGTTAATCCTAAATATAGATCTAGTTTAGGCATAGTAATAATGTACCTATGTACATCTGTTAATATTCAGCAATATATAAGCTAATAGCCAGACCTGGTACTAGCTGGGGACCAGTGACATTTCAACCAAGAACTTTTTCAAACTTATAAATCCTGAAGATTCATATGATATAGCAAGTTTCTTTATCATGTAAGAAGCAGCTAAAACCTAAGAATATTGAGCACTGATGTACAGTGTACCTTCTACACTGTCAAGTAAGTACACCTTGAAATAATTACATTATTGGAGTTACTCTAGGAGTTGAGTTACATAAGCATTAACAGACTTGTTACTATTCTTTGTTGGAAATACCTTATTTGGATGATTTATTAATATTTTGATAATGGATTTTTCAAAAGATTTTTGTATGTTGGAAATCTAGCCTAGTGCTTGGCAGTGTTGCAAAATGGGCTTTATTACTTTTCCTCTTAAACTCCCCAAGGTTTCAGTAACTATATAAAAATATGCTGCAGCCATGCCTCTGTCGGGTATAGTCTTATCAGACACTGTAAATGAAAAAAGAATAGACTTACGAAGTAGTTGAGTGGGAAACCTCCAAAGAGTCCTCAATACAAACTTTATTTGTTGTATAGCAAGCTATAGCTGCTATTTGGCTTCCAACTGTCTGTCTTCTGCAATTGGCCATGTTTCTTCCAACCTTTGTGTGCACACAACTGTGTTGTTTATGGGGAAAGAGAGGATTTTAGTAATTTTGTTTAAGGGACATGAGCAGCAATCAGGAGGATAAATGTTTTCCAACTACTCAGTTGGTCTAATAAAAGATACCACATTTACCCAAAGAACCTTGCCTGCCTATGTCCTTCGACTAGTGGTCACCAACTGGTGGATCATGATCTGTCAGTCTATCAGGGAGCCTCTGACAGTCTATCTCAGTCTGGGGGTGCTATCGACTGAAATTGACTGTCTGAGGGTCCACGATTGGGAGTGACAGGATGTATGAGCAGCAGGACGCACATGGCTGGGCTGAGCCTCACCTCCTGCCACCGGACCCGGCCAGGTGAGTAGGTTGATCTCCCTCCGTGCCCCCCGCCATCAGGTGAGTGGGGTCCTGGCTGGGCAGGCCAGGTGAGGGTCAGAGCCTGGGCGGCTTGTCCAAGTGTGGGGAGGGGGAGGGGAGGGGGGGGTTCCCACTGCTGCACACACTCTGGTGTGGTACGTGCCCCCTGATCTGTGTGCAGCAGAGGCAGCTGCTGCTGTGGGATGGGCTTTGTGCCCAGAGCCCCGCTGCAGCTGGCCCAGGAGCAGCCTGATGCCATGGGTGGGCAGGGGACACGGCTAAGCCCAGCGGTGGGAGGCATGTGGCATTGAGCCACTCCTGGGCCAGCTGCAACAGGGCTTGGGATGCAAAGCCCAGCCCACAACTGCAGCCACCTCCGCTGTGCACAGATCATGGGGCACGTGTCCCCCCCGCCCCCAAACGCCAGGCAGCGTGAGTGGCTGCAGCAGCAGTGGGAGAGGGTGTATGGCTGGAACAGGGGCAAGCCCTGTATAGGCGGGGAGCAGGGGCACACAGCCCAAGAGGATGCAGGGGGCATGCAGCCCAAAAGGGCACAGGGAGCATGTACCCCCGGATCTGCAGGCTAGCTGGGCCAGCTGCTGCTGCGGGCTGGGGCTGAGGCAGCTCTTCCCGGGGGGCTTGCCTGAGCTGTGCCACAGGCCACGGTCTGTTTGTGATGCAGGCTCCAGCTGCACTGTGCGCCAAACAAAAAACAGAACTTCTGAGCACCATCATTGTCCCACCGCTGCTTTATTGTTCTGAGCTGCTGGACCCGAGCTGGGGGTGGCTTGTGTCAGCTGTATAGTGCCAGGGATGGAGGCGGGACTGGAGCAGGGAAGCTGCCTGGGAGCTGCCCCCCAATCATTTTTTCTCCCTTTGCCTCAATCTGCCCCTCCTCTTCCCTCCCCACAGACTAACCTGCAGGGCAGGGGGAGGTGGAGGGATCTGGCAGCACACAGTAGATCTTGGGTTGCTTTTTAATTCAAAAAGTGATCTCCAACTTAAAAAGGTTGGAGACCGCTGCCTTAGACCAACATGGCTACAACCAAAAACCCAGCAGATGACTTGAGCGCCTGTTATGCAGGGATGTAAAGTTAGTAGGACAAGAGTGGTTGATAGGGTTTTAAAGGTAATTTGACAGTCAAAACCAAGAGATTCACTCTGTAAAGACACTTGATTAGTGCAAACTAAGGTTGGGAATCCTAGCTTCAGAATTTAGAGAATTAACTAAGATTTCCAGATGAACTTTAACTTTCCTCTTTGAGTGTGTACTTTTCTTTGTGTTTTTTTTTAAACCTTTACATGATCAGACTATATCTGCATACAGATGGCAGTATATAGTGTTTTATATGACTACATATGTGCAATTCCTTTGTAATGTGTTATTTGTTAAGTAATAACAACCAGTGATATATATCCAGATGGTATTATGATTGTTCAGAAAACAAATCCAACAGTACATGTATAATTATGGCAGACAGTGAACATTAATCATATGTTAAAGGATAAGCACACATTTTAGAGTATCTGCTTATCCAGAACTTATATAGAGCTCACAATTATCTTGCATTTACTTTTTAAAATAATATTTTAAAAATAATATTGATAGATTGTCAGATTCCTTCCTGTTCACATCACTCTTAACATTCCTTTAGTAAGTCCTAAAGCTTGAACTAAGGACCTTAATTCTTTGGTTTTGAAAGTAAAATTTTGAGGAATCAGGAAAGCAAGGTCAGCATCGACTGAAAGATGGAAAATTCAAGTGAGCCATTCTGGAACCTCAAACTGAATGTTACTGTAATAGGGCACCATCCCCAGGGCAGCTGAGAACCCCTGGAGGCACCCCAGAGTCCTCTTTATTTCAATCCACTTCTGGGAACAGTCTTCCCTTCGCTTTTCTGCCACGTCTTGATGTTTCTTTTGATTCTCAAAGGGGAGGCTGCCCCAGGGCTTCCCAGATCAGGTCTTTGCTCCAGAGGTGAGAAGTTCCTACATTAAGAGATAATTGCGCGGGTCCATACCATCCCTACACTGTGCCCCATGCCTCGCAGGCATTACACAACTGTTGTCACCTCTGGGGCCTCAGCCTGTTTGGCCACTGTGCCTTTAATGTGGCTAGGCCTTCTAGCCTAGGCCCACTGTGTTGGACCTAGCTTTGATGTGCTAGCTCAGCTCCCTCCTTCCCTGTCATTGGGTCCCTGGCCCCTGTCTGCTGTACATCTGTGCTGCCAGGCTCTCGGTCCCCTATCTCTCTGTGCCTTGCGCTATTTGCCAGGCTCCATTACTGCTCAATACTCACTGGAGCCTTGAGCCTGCCCCTGGCAGGGCTCAAGGCACTTATGAGCTTCTGGGCGCTAATGAGGCCTCCAAACCTGCCCTTTAAGCCTCATCCAAAACCTCTGGTTTAAACTACAACATAGCCCAGAGGCTTTCTGTTTATAACAGAAAAATAATAGAGGCAGCGTGTCTGCTTATCCCATGGCTCCTTTTCTCCAGGTCCTTTTCTCTTGTTCTGTACCCCGGCCTGCAGAGCTGTTTTCTTCTGGTCTCCTGGGGATTCAGGAGCCCACACTCTGCCTCAGCCTGAGCTGGCTGGCTCCCACTGGTTTATATAGCATTGGCCTGAGCTCTTTCCTGGTCATGTGACAGCCCCCAGTCATCTGACCAGCCTGCAGGGCTACCCTTTAACCCAGGGGTGGGCAAAATGGCAGATCTGGCCAGCAGCCAGACTCCATTTCCCAGCAGCCCCTGCCCACATGGCTGGGGCCCATCTCCATGGAGACCCCAGTCCCACTGTGCTGTGATAGCACAAGGCTGGGGTTGCCATGAAGATCAGCCCCAGCTGTGTTGGCAAAGTGTGCAGCAGGACAGGGCAGGGGGCTACTCTGGAGCTGCTGGGATCTTGCAGCAGGCATCTTGGTCTGCAGCCAAGGCAGAGCCGCGATCTGCCATCTGCAGTGTCTGGGCATCTGTTCACCACAGCACCCCAGGGGAAGACGAGACATAATGGACACAAACTGATTGAAGATTGCTTCAGGTTGGACATAAGGAAAAACTTCTTTACAATTCGAGTGCCTAGGGTCTGAAACAGACTCCCCCCAGAGTTGGTACAATCACCTACTCTGGGGATGTTAAAATCATCTTGATGCACACCTTACTGGGGTCATCTGACCCCAGCAGTCTTTCCTGCCCAAGTGCAGAGGGGTTGGACCCAATGATCTCGTGAAGTCCCTTCCAGCCCCGAACATCTATGAATCTATGAAATATTTGGGTATATATTTAGCGAAACCAGACTGCTGAGTCCTAATTGTATAGCATTTTAAAGGGAAGTACTGTTAAAATTAAGGTTGCCATCTTAATTGAGAATTTCATCAGTTTGGGACATTTAAGTTTATATTAATTAAGATTTTGCAAGTGTATAAGTTGTAAGATCACCCTGGTTGGATAGATGTTTTCAGTGTTTGCAGGTCTTTCTTAAATTACTTTCAAATATTGGTGAATAGATTTATAAAAAGGCAAAGAATAAAGAGTACTGGTTATTACTGTTCACAAAAACTACCCATTATTGGAATAGCAAGATTCTAGGCAAAATAAATTGTAAATATCTTAAAATGGATCTGACTAAAATTTCACTTTATTACATTGTGAAATAGTAACAGTTCATTTGAAAAATGTGAATTAACCATACGCAACATAGTATTGGAAGCACTCTGCTTACCCATCATTGTTTTAACTACACAATGCCCAAAAGTTTGAAGCCATCAAATAGAACCTCATTTCAGTGTTAATATAAAATTAAAATGGCATATTTTTAACTTAATTGTTCAAGTCCTGTTCTATTACAGTATAGGGCTTATCAAACTCCATTTTAATGAAAGCAGTATGTTTTACTTTGAGATTTAGGAGTCCTCCTGAAAAAGAAATTTACACTTAAAATATGTATAGCCTAGTGCAGATATTATTTGCTATGCCCTGTTTTATGCTCTCATTTGAGTAAGACATGAAATTACTTAGCATGCTGACACACACTTTTGAATTAAAGTATATATGTAGTACATTAGAGTCATTGCACATTATTATTTTATTTCATTTTATTTTATTTTACAGAGAATGAGATACAGTGATAACCCCTAATTTTTCCCTGACATAGTACTGCTTTGACACAGCCTATTCTTTTTTACAGGAAAGGAAAGAGAGGAGGGAACTGATTGAGAAAAAGCAAAAGAAGCTCCAAGTTATTCTTGAAGATGAAACCCCTCCTCCTTGGAGCCCACCTGGCAAAGTTGCATCTACAAGGGGTTACTGATAAGTCCACCACCTTCCGTGAGGAAAGTTCATTTCCAAAGCTCTGACATTGTGTAAACATTATTCCACAACACCTGATTTTAAATTGAGTCAACATCGGCTACTGCATCCTTTCTTTTTAGGTTGATTTAGTCTCTTTTGTGGAACACCTAAGTGCACATCATAAGTAGATCAGTTGTTCTTTTTCATTGTATTTCACCAATTATTTCAGAGTTAACTTCTTTGTTAACCTTCTATCAGCTTGTTCATTTTAGTGAAAATGCACATTCAAGACCTTGAGGGCCAACACCCTTTTTTCCACTGAATAATAAGTTGCCCCAGGTAGTTAGTTTCTCAGAAAGCAAATAAGGGTTCTATTCAACATGAATAAGGAAGTCAGAAATTGGACCCAAATGAGTAGTCTATGTAGGGTTAAGTTAGTTCTTATTCAAAACACAGAGCAAAGTAGTAGAAAGTACCATATCATTTTACATTCAGACAGGATCTAAAAATCAAGTTATATGTCAAAGGCAGCCAAACTTCCAAACCCCCTTATGGGTGCAAGCAGAAGTAACAATTGAAATGCTTCACAGGGCCATCCATTTTACATAGATACTATAAACCAGTGTCCAATATCTGAATAGTGGTAAGCAAGGCAAGGGGAAATCAAAATGGCAGTTTTCACTATATGTTGAAACTGGCAATATGCAGTTGTGCAAAGCACAAGGATAGCATAAGCTTTTGCAGCAGCATAAGCAACTTACGCTTTTTATATGCTTGGAGTGCGAAGGCCTGATAATGCTGTCCCCAGAAAGGAAACATCCAGAGAGGATATCACTGTTCTTTTAAATAAAATAATCTCTTTCTTTTTGGCCTTAACTAAATGAGAGGTAGCAAGCATATTCTGTGGTGAGGGCTAAATTAAGTTTTAATGATCTGTGAGGCCAGTGTCCAGCAATAAGGTTGTATGGTAACAGTGTAAAGTAAAAAGATCAAGGCTAGGATATAGGCCTTAAATAGTTAGAGATATGTGGTGCAGCTGGCAGAAATTCATGGGTAAATAGTAAATTTGCCAAAACTGTGGCTTTAATCATTATAAAGCTATTTGTGATCTTTTTTTCTTGAATGCATTAATTGGCTGGAAAAACATTTTTAGGACTAGAGTCACAAAACTAGTGGTGATGTTGTCCCCCTTTTGACATAATAGTTCAGGGGTAGAGCACCTTCCTAGAATGTGTGAAACCCACTATTTTCCTTTGTCACAAAGGCTTTGCCCTGTCTTCTACCTCTTGGAGTATCCCAAACACCAGGCTGTTGGTTAATTTGGGAGAGGTAGGGTATTCTGTTGATACCGTTCTGTATTGTATGAATCAGTGGTTTCAAAATGGTGGTCTATGAAATCATTGCGAATGACCCACAGGTAAACTGGATTGCTTTGGACCCATAGTACATCATACAGTGTTTTCAACTAAAATCTTGACAGTAAGTGTGTGCACAGTGGTCTGTGAGAAATGTTGAGAGTTCACAAAGGTCCAGTGCTCCAAAAAGTTTGGAATCACTGGTAAAAGTAATTGAATGCTCTCTGAAGCAGAAGCAAAATTTCTGTGACTTGCCTCCCAAAGAGTACCCTCACCACCAGGCTTGAAGGACATAGTCTCTTTCTCCTTCTCAGTAATAATTTAAGTATTGTGTACATAGTGGAACAGCTTCAACAAGAAAAACTGAGAGAGACCCACCTTGGTGTTTAGGACAAGCACCTGAAAAGCAGGTGACCATGGGTCAAATCCTTGCTGTGAATCTGCAAGACAGTGGAACTCACTTTGGGTCTCCTTTCTCTTTGTTGAGGGCTTTAATCAGCAGGCTATAAGGTATTGTAAGGTGAGTCTCCCTTGGTTCTTCTTACTAGAGCTGCTCTACTTCATACAGTCTCTTTAGGCTTGAGGTTAGGATATTCAACCTTAATATAAAATGCACAGATTCGTGTAACTGTTTGTTTATACGCAGTTAACATTGCCAACAACAGAAGTTGCAAATCCATGAATATGTGTACATGTGCACAACTGCTGGTTAGGACACTATCCTGAGATGTAGAGTAAGTGGATTCAAGTATTCTCAGATAGAGGCAGGATTTAATCTGGATTTCTTATGTCTTGGTTGAGAGCTTTAATCTGGATTTATTGAGCAAAACATGGAATGTCAGAGGAGGATCCAAATTCTGTGTCGTCTTTTCTTTATTTTCTTTACTTTTCATATAAGTGACCCTAAAAAATTAAGCATTTCATTTTGGGTTGAATGAAACATTTTGCTTCAAGCAATATGGCAGATGAACAAATCTGTTTTCACACAATGCTACTGTGCTGTGACAGGCATTATATGCTTACAAAGGGACTTAAAATTGTGGGGGAAGAAGAGAAGAAAAAGGAAGAATCTCTACCTTAATCCTTGTAAGGGCTACCAGAACTAATGTGGGTTGGATATGCAGGACCAAGTGAACACTATGCATGTACTGCTCCACACCTTAAAAAAGGGGTGGTTGGGTGCTGGCTAGGGCAGATGAGGTATTGGGGGTGGGGTAGGCATCATAATCTGCTGATAAACACCAGCAGAAATTTCTGTCCTTCACCCATCAGGAAGGAGAAAATAGGGAATTGTGTCTCAAATGTGAGTCTCTTGGGAACACTTCATGATGCTTCTTATGCTCCTGTCACTAGCTTAGTGCTGTCTAAAGGCATACAATGGACCCTACAAAGAGGGTTTTGACCATTTTTCTTGATTAGCCTTAATTAAAGTGTACACTGATCAAAATTGAGACAGCATACTAAAAGTGCTGTCTTCTATGATTAATCCTTTAAAAGACTATCAGAGATTTTTACAGAGCCTTAAAAATGTGCTTTCATGTTAGTCTTGAGGACTAAGAGCTACTGCTTTGTCATGATTAAGGATGTGTTACAGAATTCACTTTTACAGAAACTTTAAACATGTATTTTGTGAAAATCTTACCGACATAAAAACCAGAATATACACTTTAAGCACTATCTGATAGTTTTTCATAATAATTGATGGAATATTAGATAATACTGAAAACTTAAGAATAAAAAAAAAAACCACTTTTGGTGATTTCCCATTACAACTCTGGTTTCTCACTTGTCTTTGAGGGTTTAGGTTGTAGCCGAGTTGGTCTAAGGACATAGGCAGACAAGGTTCCTTGGGTGAATTTGATATCTTTTATTAGACCAACCCAAATAGTTGGAGAAAAGTTAGTAAGCAAGATTTCGGGTTCAAAAACCCTTACTAGTCAAAAACACTTTGAACCTGTTTCCTGGCCACATGCCAACTCCAAAAATATCAGCATGTGCATATGCAGATGGAGAGAAATTGCTGATAAAACATTTTAACACTCTATAATACTTTGAAATCTGTCTCAAACCAGATACCCAAAAGGAAAATATACGCAATAATAGAGGGCTGTCCAATCTTACAACAAAGGCATAATAAATTCCAACGCCTAGAAGCTTGAAAGTAAACCTCTCTAACCTTGAATAACATGAACTTTCTTCATCAAACTTTCTCTCTAATGCAAAATCAACAGTATTAAGCACAACAATTTCCCAGGTGCATGAAAAGAGCAGCACATCTATCCATGACTTTTAATTAATAGTGACCACACACCTTGGCTTCTATGAAGTTTTACATTTAAGGGTGAGCATTTGTTACTCTTGGGCATCTGGTGGAGATGGAAGTAAAAGTCTTAGGAAGCACTGGAGTGTATTATCTACAGTGGTCTAGGCAATATAAAGCTGCACAATGGGAGCATCTACATGGGTTCTTTAATGCACAGTAGACTATTTTACTGAGCATTAAAGCATCACGTAAAAAAAAGTGACATTATGCTAATATGCAATAAAATAGTCTAGTACGCATTAAGCATCACAAAAAAGCATGAAAATGGGCCACTGCACATAGAGCAACTTAATGCCCATTAATTTAGTACCTCACATTGAAGGTACTAAATTTAATACGCATTAGAAAAGGTGCGTTAATGCATGTGTAGAAATGCTCAGTAATGCTTAACTCTGTCCCCTTAACTTTTTATTTTCCATGACTTGGGTTTTGTTTTGAAGGAATATGTCCTGTATTCTTAGCTGTTTCTAAGTATAGTTTGCATTTTACTTTATGATGTTTTTAAAATACAGCATACTGTAGAAAGGATAGGTGCCTCTTATTTGTTTGATCCTACACTGTATCTGGATTTTTCTTTTTACACAATAGATTATTTGTATGGGTATGGTGTCTGAGAGCCTTACTTGTGGCCTCAAGACTGTTCTGCTGGGTTCTGTAAAACACAGAACAAAAAGAAGCTTTGCCAGGGCAACTCCCAAAATAGCTTTGCCAGTGCAACTCCTGGTGTGGACAGAACTATGCCGACAAACGAGAGTTTTAGTCTGCTTAGCCAACAGAGCTCTGCTGACTCAGCTCTAGCAACCTGGGGTATGGACACACGTAACAGTTGAATCATTCTCAGATATCACTGATTGGGAACCAGTTCACAATTATCACAGGTCAAAAGTGACCACACATACGGTGCCATATATTCCAGGTGGAACAGTCACCTTGTAGGGGTTGAAATGCTGTGGTTCCAGCAGCAGGGTGTAGGAGTGAACACACAGCCCATCAAGCATCACGGGGGTTAGTGGAGTGGGGTGCATGCACCCACACTTTGGGGGTACCAGAGGTGGGTGACCTGTGGCCCTGGGGCATTTTCACTTTTCTTCTTCTTTCTTAAACATGAGTTTAGTAAAATTCAGTAGCTGGCACTTGACTGAGCTCTGCAATGTGCCTGCCAGACTTGAGGTACCTGAGAATGCTTGGATCCAAGCTTTAGGGTTCCAGAGGATGGGGGACATGATGGGGGGCTGCAGTCAAGTAGGGACTGAGGACACAGGTGATTGTTAGGAAGGTGGCTTTTATTAAATAAGTAGTACAAGGGAGCACATTGATTAAAAAAAATACAAACAAAAGGGGATAGTAGAGTTCGGACGACATGCCAAAGTGGTCATTTACAGGTGTGTTTGTGGTTGGGGGTGATAGTGCGGAAGGCCTAGGGAACCAACCAGACCCATGCCAGAGAACCCTTCTGGAGACTTTACACATGCTCTGGGGTGGGGGGGCGCTTTAATTAGAGTGATGCTGAGAACCGCTGTAATTAAAGCACCCACAGCATCATGTGTATTCAGCATCCTACACTTTAAAAGGGCAGCAGGGGTGCTTTAACTAAAGCTCATTCAATGAGCTTTAATTAAAGCACCCTCACCATTTTGAAGCATGGGGACACTGAATACACGTGATGCAGAGGCTGCTGGAGCATGCTAATTAGCACGCATCGAAGCAGACACCTGGCATGTGTATAGTACCCCTGATGTCCACACATAACATTGAGCTTGTTTAGAGTGAACTGGTTCAAAGGAATACTTGATTTTCCAGGTCCATTTTTAACAATTCCAAGCAGTTTTAAACTAGTTTAACAGGCTTGTACATTTGTCCACTTCAGGTTTAACCTGCATTTAAACTGGTTTAAGTGTCATGTGTCCATACCTAATAGACTTCATAGCATAGACAGAGCTGAAGATAAGAAACAATAGATGCATACAGACAGATTGAAAAGTATCAGGAAACAATGAGACAATAGTAGCCATCAGGATAGGGAGTGGTATCAGCACATCTGTGACCAAACCCTTGTCAAATCTTTTGCAAAATCATAGCCAAGGAGGGTCTTAAGGAAAGATCTGAAGGAGGATAATGAAGTGGTTACACTGAAACTGGGTCACGAATGCTTGAAGTTCTGATTTAAAAAGAACACACGTAAAAGCAACTTTACCATTTTCTAAATAGATTTAACTCTGTCTTCTATATAGACCTGTATACCTCAGTCTTCAGGTTCATATACTTGTTTGATTTCCTCCCTTCTGGGGATTTTACAAATAAATGCCTGGCTATAGTTGGTTCTGATTACGTACAGGAAAAATGTGGAACATTTAGCATTAGTTCCCATCTTTAGTTTTGGGGTTGGTTGTTTTTACTGAGTACTTCGTGAAATAAAACCTAGAGAAGTCCTGTGACATGCAACTAGTATAAGATGCATTGCTATTGAAAGGAAATACCTGTCATTTTTCTATAAATATTTTGAGTGATTGCATTAAGAGCAAGATTTGCTGATCTTGAAAATAAATTTGACAGTAAGCAACATTTAGGAAAATGAAAGGTATGAAGACTGCAGCTTCAGTGTGTGATTGCTTCAAGGTCAGGAGAATTTGAGGTGAATAATGCAGGAACTAGTGTGTCAGGTGAGATTTGGGATACTGTTTTATATGAATTTTTCTTTTTTGCAAAACTCAGCAAGTAAGACAAGTCCATGCACTTGAAAAGCAGTTTGGATTTTAGACAGGAATCTACAACTGAGAGTAATAAAAACAGGTAAGGACAGAATCTGGAAAAGGTTAAATTGTTTTAATTTATCATTTGGCTTTGGGAAATTGTTCATCTTTATTTCTCTCAGTTTTGTAAGTGTGGGACAGAAGTGAGCTATTTACAAAGGATTTAAGGGAAGAGTTGATAATGACCAATCACTCAAAGGAATAATAAAATACACTTGAAACACACACAGATTCTCAGTTCTTCAATCCAAACGTAACAGTGTAAGGTAAAGAAACATAGCCTTATCACTACACAGAGCCAACTCTAGGTAATGATGATAAAAAACTGCAACAGACATGCAAAAGCAGTTAATGTGTGCAATTCAGCATTTCATATTACAGTGGAGAGTTATGATCCTTGTACAATTTGTTTACCTCCTAAATACTTAGGTCATTTTTCAGCGTGACATATCTTTGCAAGGAAAAAGATCTGATAAAAATAGAAATAAATGCATTTCAACTTCTAGAAAACACTTGTATATTTCATCTTATTCAGGAAAATGCTGTAAATATATTTATTGTTCTTATGTGGCATTTGGAAGGGAAATATTTTAGTATTTAATAAAGTTTATTTTTATACAACAGAATCAGTGGTTTTATTTGGTCTCGGTTTTTAAATCCTAGTAAAAATCTTTCATGTATTTTAAACTGTATAGTTTAAATAAGCACCAACTATTCTTCTGCGTTTATTATAAGTAGACAAGAGGCCCAAAACCTATCCTCAGATTTCTATGTGGAGCCCCTACCACCACCCATTTTATCCCTCCTTTTCTGCCCATCAACTTGTTTCTGCTCTCTTTTTCCTCATTTCTGTTCCAGTGCAAATAAACTGTTGTGTAGCACTGATTTTTTTTTCAAAGTGATTCTTCTGGAATAGGAACAGCATCTGATAACATTTTTCCTCATGGATGTTATTTACCAGTTACACTTCTAAATGACTGCATTAAAAGTAAAAGCTGATTACCCAATTAAGCAAAGTGTAAAAAGCTTTTTAGCACTTAGTAACCAATTACCATTGTAGTGCTGGCTTTGTGATCTGTCAGTACAACAGGAAATGCAAGCATACTGTGTGTCCCCCGCCCCCACCCACCCCACACCTTTTCTCCAGAATTATGGGGCTGCTCAACAGAGGAAAGTTGTAAATCAACCAGAGCAAAGAATGGAGCAGTACATATAGTGCATGGTAGGTACAAGCTATGAGGCTCCTCATGGGCTAAATCCAGTCAGGAGCATCATGACTGGCTCAGGGGCTGCTATGGCAAGTAGCAAGGGGTCTGGCAGCAGCAGTGAGTCCAAGGAAGTGAATCCAGGGACAGCAGCAGTGATCCAAGCTTGCTTCTGATCATGTTCAGTGGGGCCAAAGAACCCTGGAGTCTGCAGCAAGCCATGCCCCTGGACTTCTGTGGCTAGCCAATAGCCTGTGGGCCATACATTTGACACCACTGATCTTGTCTGACTTGTATATCACAGCTTATTAAATTTCACCCAGCTATCTCTCTACTGAATCCAACAACTTGCATTTGACTAAAGCATTTCTCTTCCTCTTTTTCATTAACAAAAAATAGCTCCAAATACATTCAATATGCTGAGTTTTTCTTTATCATTAGCCTCAGCAAGCACAGTAGATCAAACTCTAATAAAGATGTTGCTGCTCATCTGTATCATCCTCATAGGCCCAAAATATCCAGAATCTAGGAAAATGTGATTTCTTAGGTCTCTTAAGTACCACAACAATAGTCAAATTCTGGTGAACCAAAGAACAGAGGCCTCTAGATGTCACCAGCTCATGCTCCTCTGTTACTGGAAGGATCGCATAGCAAGCATAGGGGCTACTTGTTCTAGTTTTAGTCAAAGTTTTCAATAGCTGATATAATAGATTTTGGGGGTCGGAAGCAACCTATTAGATCATTGAGTCCACCCCCTGCCCTGGGCAAGAAGGAGTGCTGGGGTCAGATGACTGCAGCCAGGTGTTTGTCCAATCTCCTCTTAAATACATCCAAGGAAGGGGAGAGCACCACCTCCCTTGGAAGCATAGTCCATATTTTGGCAACCCTCACTGTATTTTTTCCTGATGTCCAGTCTAAATTTGCTCTCCTTCAGTTTGTGGCCATTGTTTCTAGTTACCCCAGTGGGTGCCCTGGTAAACATTGTATCCCCTATTTCTTGCTGAACCCCCCGTTGAGTTTGTAGGCAGTCACAAGATCACCACTCGGCCTTCTCTTGTGGAGGCTGAAGAGGTTCAGGTCCCTCAATTGATCCTCGTAGTGTTTTTTTCTGTAGGCCTTTAATCAGACAGGTGGCCCTCCTCTGAACCCTTTTCAGGGTATCTACATCCCTTCTGAAGTGCAGCGCCCAAAACTGGATGCAATACTCCAGCTGCAGCCTGTGACCAATGCCACATAGAGGGGAAGTATCACCTCCCTAGACGTGTTTGTGATGCACCTATTTATGCAAGAAAGAGTGCAGTTAGCTTTACTTATTACTTCATCACATTGGTGACTCATGTTAATTTTGGAGTCAGCTACGACTCCGAGATCCCTTTCTGCAGTTGTGCTACTTAGAGCGGTACCTCCCAGGCTATAGGAGTGTTGATGATTCTTCCTCCCCAGGTGCGACACATGACACTTATCTTTGTTAAACTGCATCCTATTCTGTTTTGCCCACTTCCCCAGCCTGTCCAAATCCACCTGGATTTGCTCCCTGCCCTCTAGTTTGTTTACCTCCCCCTGTAGTTTGGTGTCATCTGCAACTTGGACAGGGTGCTTTCTACTCCCTCGTCCAAGTCACTAATGAAGATATTGAATAATACTGGTCCCAGGACAGAGCCCTGGGGGGACTCCACTGCCCACATTTCTCCAGGTAGAAACCAATCCATCCACCACCACTCTCTGGGTATGTCCCATAAGCCAATTTTCTACCCACCAGACTGTGTAATAATCTACATTGCAACTGTTTAATTTATTTATAAGAATTGGGTGTGACACTGTGTCACTATGTCAAAGGCCTTTTTAAGATGTAAGTAAATAACATTTACCTCTATTCCTTCATCCAAGCATTTTGTGACCCAGTCATAAAAAGAGACTAGGTTAGTCAGGCAGGATCTGCGTGGTATGGACCCATGCTGGTTGCCCCTTAGCATTATTTTACCTGCTGGTCCCCCACAAATTTGATCCTTAACAATTTTCTCAAAGGTCTTGCCAAGGATAGAGGTGAGGCTAACCAGCCTATAGTTACCTGGTCCCTCCTTCCTCCCCTTCTTGAAAATAGGGACCACATTGGCCCTTTTCCAATTCTCCAGGACCCGTCCTGAGTGCTACAAGTGCTCAAACAGTTGAGCCAGTGGATCCGCTATAACTCCAGCTAATTCCCTAAGTACCCTAGGATGAAGATCATCAGAGCCTGTTAACTTAAATACATTCAACCCCTCCAGGTCAGCATGAACAGTTGGTGGGTTGGTATCTATCTTGCGCTTACCTAAAGTCCCAAAGGGATGCATGTTTGTATTCGTATCCAGGAATTGGCTGACAGTATTGGCTTTATCGAACAGACAAAACAAATGGTTGCTTAGGCTAGCAAAACCTTTACTAATTGTTGGCAAAGGTACATTAGCAGGGGTGGATACCTACTGGCTTTGTCAGAGGCAGCAGGCCCAGAGCAGTGATTCTCAAGCAGGGTGCTTTGAGATCCTTTCAGGGGTGCTATAGGGTGCTACACAACGTTAGTACTGTTAAGTATGCAAAAATGATTAACAGGATAAACCAAATGATTTCAAATAAGAATC